GATTAATATTCTTGATTCGTAAATTCGATGGAAGAATATGAACATACCAGAATGTCAAAAAAAAATATTCACACATTGATTACATTGACTGAATATGATGATGATGATGTTGATGACATTCAGGAAGTGAAACCAATTTTCGAACGGAAACCCGTTCGTTCACCGGATAACGACATTATCATCCAATATGTTTGTATTATATTTTGTTACCACAAAATTTCATGTATGTATGCACGGTTAACCAGAAAAGGAAAAAAGAAAGAACAAAATCCGAATATAACCCATGATAAAAAAAACAGGCCTAAAGCTGATGAATAAAGAAAAAAAAGGAAAAAATTCTCAACAAAAGATAATGAAATAATTAATATTAAGGCATTTTTCATTAATATTCTTTAGCTTAGGTGTTAATTATGAATAAAAATTCAAAGAATTTTCTTTATGTAATATCCACATCCTGATTTTTTTTTTGATCCCAGACAAAAAATATTTTATCAATTTTCAGCCAAATACAGAAACAAACACAAAATTATCAAATGAATCATATTCATTCATCTAATAATAATTTGAAATAATTTTGCTGTTGTTGTTGCCAAAAGAAAAATGTGAACAAAGTCAAAGCTTTATCAATGAGGTCCAATTCATTTATTTTATGTTTCGAATTTGAAATTGAAAATCATCAGGAAAAAAAACCTCAGCCAGCAAGGAAAAATACGCTGGAAGCAATTTATAATTCTGTGACAAATCAATTTTTTTATGGGTCAAAGAAAAATAAATTAAATTTTTTTTGAAAATAAAATATTGAATAAGTTTAATGATTCGGTGAATACATTATTTCATTCATCATAGGATGGTAGAAAATAATTATTTTGAAAATTTTCAAAACAGATTGAACGAACAAAAAATGGACATAGTTACCCTTGGGGAAATCTGTTTGAAGAATGAAATTCCGAAAATTTTAAGAAAGAAAAAAAATTTTCATTCTGGTATCAATAGTCGATAGTATCGTAATATATCATATTTATGGAAAAAAAATTCTCTTCATGCGTAATCATCAAATCGGTATGGCAGAATATTATTACTAACCATAGAGATTTTTGTTTCCTGCTGGTTAATAAAAATCATGAAGATGGCATTGGTTTTGTTATAATTTATTCGAGAAAATCTGGAACTCAATATCAAGAATAATGATACCCGAAAAAAACCCAAATAAACAAACGATCATTCTAATTGCTAAATTTGATGATGAAAAAAAATCCCTAATTTGTGTAACTAAACCGGTGGATAGTTATCATTTATCATCAAGCTGATTGAAGAAAAAAACATGCTAAGTTCATTTTGGGTTTTTCTGGCTCCACATTCCGTGTGTGTGTGTACTTTGATATTTGGCTAATTACTTTTCTTGATCAAATCTTTTGATTATTGGCATTAATTTGTTTTTAGTCAATTCATGAAATATTTATTTGTTCATTCATTTGTTGTACATATCTTTTCTTTTTGATGATGATGATGATGATGATTATTCACATGAATCGAAATTCTCTTGTCAAGAAAAAATACCATTCTAATCAAAAATATTTTGATAATAATTTCCATTTTCTGCAAATCATTTTCAGCGAAAATTTCCAGAATCAAAGTTTGTTTCAACAATTTTCTTAATTTTTGTAATTTTAAATCAACATTTATTATTCGATGATGTTAGTGTGATTGGTAAATGTTTTTACATTATTCACTATTAGAAATGATGAAATAAATTAATATCGTTTAATGGTCGAGTTGTATTTGTTCATTACATTTATTTTTCCTGTTTGTTTTAGTTGTTGTTGTTAATTAAAAACTGTTCACTGAATGAATTTGAAAATAAATGAATGTCCAAATATTTAGAAGAGTTGACTAACATCAAAAAAAAAACTTCAATCTATCTTCATTCATTTATTTCGTATAAATTTTATCGAATAAATGAACGTTTTGCCCAAACATAACATTTTTATTTCACTTCATTTACCATCATCATTTATTCGTTTGAATTTACAGCTTTCATTTAAGTTAGCTCAAATAGAACAAAAATCACAAATCGTCACAAGTGGATCCCAAATGCATTGATGAATAAAGTAGAAATGAGAAAGAATTATAGAAACAAACATTCCAAACATTAACAACAACCAAATTATCATCGATAAGATGATTACACTTGAGAAATGGGCGTTTTTTCTTTGGTATGGGTGTATTTAAGTTTGTAATGATAGGGGTTTTGTTTTTCTAGTGATCAAATGAATTTCTATTAATGTCTGTGTGTTTAGAAAAGTCGGTCGATCTTTTTACTCGTTTGAAGGACCTTTTTTTTGGAATGTTAATTCTAAATTGACTATCATCTTATCTGAATAAAATTTGAATTGATTCAATGTTTGACTTGATGTATTTCTATTTAATTCATTGATTTTCAGAATATTTTGAAGCAGAAAAAACAAAACAAAACAAACGAAAATGCCTTTCACCAATTATGTGTTCAAAAAAATTCTTCTCATTTTAGCATTAGAGAAAAATTTTGCCATTTTCTATGGAAAAATTTCTTATTATTTTCCATTTGGTTTTAATCAATTTGAATATTTTCATTTTCTTAAAAATTGAATTTCTTTTTTTCCTTGAATTCATGAATTGCTTTCAGATTTTATTTCTCTTGAGACGAAAAAGGAACAAAATTACCATAGAACAAAAAAATTGGACAGATTTAAGATTTAGAATCTGGAAAGAAATTTCTCTCCATTATTCAATGATTGCATAATAATAATCTTTCATTATTTCAAAACAATTGTAAGATTTTTCGAAAATTCTTAACTACCCTTTTTTCACCAACACAAAGAGATTTTACTTTATACAGATTGGCCTAAAAATTCTTCAGATAGAAACCAATCACCGGCTAAACAAAAATTGGAAATTTAGGAAAATCATAAAACCAACACGGTTACATTTTATACACACAAACAAACAGAAAACAAAAGATATAATGTAGACCAACTATGTTCAAATCTAACAAAAGTTGAAAAAAAAGTTTTGAAGCTTTATCCAATTCATTCATTCATTCATTCAATGTTCTTCGTTCTGGATTTTTGTTTTGAGAATTCTAATCCCAACATAATAGTCATACTAAAATATTACGCTTTGGGACCTTTATTATACATACATACAAGTCAGAATAAGCCAATTAGCTCAAGAGAGAAAAAGAAAAAATAAAAATAAAAAAAAACCATGGACCCAGAATCGGGAGCCTGATTATCCTGATGACGATGACGACCGACAAAGCAATCAATTCAAGAAAATTTTTTTCCTTCTTCATTGTATTTGCTTCATAAATCAGCATTTTTTTCTGGTTTCCAACGTACATGTAACGTTTTGCAAAATTTAATACAACAACAACAATTAATCCATCTATTCAGGGAATTCTCATTGTAAATATATTTGTTATTGTTGAATCTCTCTTTCTCTCTATTCTATAAGTTTTGCTTACACTCACACAACCATAAAACATACGTAAGGATATACAAAAATCTTTTTAGCATTCATAATTAACTTTATTCATTTATATTCCATCGGTTTAATTGGTAGTAATAATAATCATCATCATCATCACCTTAGGTTAGTGAAATGCACAACAATAGCAACGAAAATAAAACAAACCATTTATTATTTATTCTACCGGTAATAATATTCCATTGATTTTCGTTTTTTTTTCACCCATTCATTATATTCGGTAAGATGTAAATCGATCGAAATAAAATGTTGTAAAAAAGAAACAGAATTTTCATTCCAAAAAAATTGAATTAAAATAACTCCACTATTTCTATGTTTGTATGTTTTGGGAACAAAACAGGATTCCCATTTGTTCTTCAAAGTTTTTTTTTACTTCAACGACGCAATTTGAACGACGACGGCGCCATTGGAAACCAACAACAACAAACCAAGTCTAAAATACCAAACCAAACCTTCAAGCAATGTAAACGTTCCATTCATTGGGCGTCCATGTGTGTGTGTGTGTGCGTGTTTGTCTGTTTTTGAATCAGTTCTATGTTACTTGAGTGTGGATTATATAAAAACTGGTACAAACTATTATCCGGCAATCCATTTATAGCTTACAAACTGGTTATGATTCATTCATGTTGGTTGATCAATATTATTATTATTATTTATATTCAATTTGTGTTCATTTGTTTGATTTTGGAATATTTTTTTCCCTGATTGCTTTACTGTGAATGATTTTTTTCCTCACTCTTTTTTTCAAAACAGACAAACTTACACACACACAATTTTGGTACCGAAAAAAAAATTCTGGTTTTAGGCAACATTTTTTCTGCATAAATTCTTTTAGAACAAAAAAAATATTTCATTGAAGTTTTCTTCATTTTGTTTTTTGATTCGTGATTTCTGGTATCATCATTTCAATATTTAGATATTCAACAATTGTATCGAATTCTTCATCGTTTTTTCTTCCTTTAAATTCTCACCATGTGATTGTTGATTACTGTTTTTTTCTTTCTCTCTATTTCATTTATTCATTCATTTGGCCATGATTCAATTCAACGCATCATATTACAAATTTATTAACCTAGAAAAAAATGAATAAATGATTTAATTTTGAAATTGTGAATGTAAATTTTTTTTCGTTCATCCGATTCCGGATATAGACAAGCAATTCAATTGATTTTTTTGAAAAACCAGAATTCGCTGTGTTTTTGTATATGTGAATATATGTACATGTCTGGTATTTTTTTTGCATAAACTTTATTTTGCAAAGAATATTAGGTTTCTTTTTTTTTTTTGATTGGTTATCATCAATATTGTTGTGAAACTGGGAAAAAATAATTAAAGTTTAAATTCAAAAACGTAATTTTTTTTGGTAACATTGTATCTTTCTTCTGTAGTTTGTCGTTTGCTATTGTTGTATAGTTCCAGGAAATTGGTTTTTCTTTTTTTTCATCAATAAAAGTGATTGTAATTTTTTTCCATTGAATCCACAATAAAAAAAGTTGATTAATAAGAAAAATCATGAATAAAACACGTGACATGACTTGATTCAATCGACGTTGTCATTCAAACAGGAAGCGTTAAATTTTTGTTTTACAAAGATTATTAATACACAGTGATTTCAGAACAAAGATTTCTCTTGATTGTCAAAAAAATTATCTGGTGAACAAAATGTAAGTAGAATTTTATTGTTATTATCATTTGTTTTTCATGTTTTCTCATCAGTTAATTAGTGGCTATCACGCAAATTTTATTTATCTTCATCCCTTCATGACGGAATTTTATGTCTTGTCTTGTTTTTTTCTTGCTTTCCAAAATCGTTTTATCTTCTATTCTGTAATTTTTCTTTTTCCCAAAAACTATCCTTATCATTTTCTTATCTCATTACGTTGTTTCTTTGTTTATTTATTTTTCCCACTAAAATAATCAAACAAGGATCATAAACAAATAACATGACCAATGAACATTTTGACAATCAATATTTTAGCTTATAATAATAATAAAAATGATAATTATAATCACCGAAAACAAAAACAAATCCAACTTTGTTTTCAGACAAAATAATGATTTTGATATTTTTTGTTGTTGTTGTTAGTATGTTGTTTGTCCGACAATAACAACAACAACAACTGAATAAAATTATGTCGTTTACAGTATATTATTATATAACAGTGTGTTATGAGGAATTTTTTTTTCGTTGTACATTCGGTTCAATCAAATACATGATATATAAACAGATAAACAAACTCAGATAGAAATAAAATCATTGATCTAGCCGATGATTCTACATGCCGGTCATCATCAAATGATGATGATGATGATAATAATCATCAACAAAATCGCCGCTTTTTTTGATTATGTGATGATGATGATGATGATGAGGAGGATTTAGAGATATTTTATATGGAATAAAAAGAAGAAGAGATTTTATATGCGGTCATATTGTTTGTTTGTATTACTATCATTCTCTTGATTCTCTGTTTTTTTTTCACTTGCCTCGATTCGTTTGCTGACCAAAAAAAGAACTACAAATGACTTTTTTTGGCTCTCCCAAGCTGATCCAAACATACCCTAATGTACAATTGCCCAAATGGCCGATCATCGACCAACTTTTTATCATGTGTGTGTATGATACATGCATGTAGAAATGACGACAATTTGAAAGCCTCCTAAAACACAACAAAAAAACAAACCAAAACGAAATAGCAATGAATGAAAATTCACTTTATACAATGATTTCGTTTATTTTTTTCGATCGTTGTTTCTAAATTCTTGATTCTTGTTTGTCAAAAAAAATGAAAAAAATGCAGGAAGAAATATGAAAAAAACAAAAACAAAATCGTATGCCATTCATGGATGATGATTGCAAATGGTGGTAGTAAATTTTTCTTTTCTCTTTTTTGACCATTCATTTTCTACAACGTTGATGATGATGATCATCATCATAATAATCGTTGCTTGTTTACTGCTGTATAACAATGATTATATAAGACTATGGGTGTGTACAATATGAAATCTTTGATCATTTTCTTTCTTTTTCACTGATGTTATTTATTTCAACATTTTCTCCTTGTGTGTGATACCATTCAACTGAATCTAGGGTCCGGCAATCTGACTATTTCATTTTTTTTTTTTTTTGTTTTTTTTGTTACTGGATTTTATCATCTCTGTTTGTCTTTTATTTTTTGGGCTAGTTGATTCTTAATTTGATTTGTTCATCGTCATTTTATTCTGGTGAATGGACGGGTGGTTGTTTTTACTAGTTATTCTCTGACTTTTTGTTTTTTGAATGACTGGTTGTCGTTTTATTCCCCTTTTACAACTTTTTTTTGATGTTGTCTGCTTATTTTTTTTACTTAAATGATTATACTGTGTTTGGTTGATATTTTTTTCTGTTTTAGTTTCAAGATGAAAATAAGAAACTTTAATTTGATTTGTATGGTTATTGGTATCCAGAGCACTCATTTGCCATTTACTACTACCATCACCATCATATAAATGAATGGTTTTGGATATTTGAGACTTATGAAAAAAAACAATTCAAAAGTTAAATATACCAGATACCAATCCATCCATGTTTGTGTGATACGAAACAAAAACCAGGGACAAGAAAACCAAAAAAAGAATTGCCAAAAAAATAATCGGTGAACCAAAAAAAAGACTACTTTTTATGAGAATTACAATGACAAGTGGTCATAAATTAGCAGCCTAAAATTAAGATGAAATTGCCATACATTTAAAGAATGATATGAACTCAAGCCTAAAACCACTAACACTATCCAAAGACTGTTACTATCTCTGATCATGATGATGTAATTTTGAATTGGTTGTTTGAGTTGAATTTTTATTTTTATTTATTTATTCTTTCGTCATTGTCATGACTTTTGAATCATTATTATTATTTTTCGTTCGTTAATCCCTTTTTTTGGTTTTTTTTTACTTTGGTTCTTCTCGTTAATTCTATTTCACTGATGCTTGATCCTTGTTACATTAATTTAAAATTATATCATACTATCATTTGAAAAAAATAATGTTACTGATTTTGTTTTTCTTGGGATTTCAAATCTAAGAAATTGAATTGGATAAATCCATTTACCATGAATTTCCGATTCAGTACTTTTTTTCACAAATTTCTTGGATTTATTTTGTTTTTCTACAATTTTGTTTTAATTTATCAAAACAAAAATCGGAGAAAAAAATTAACAAAGATGGCGGAAAAAAATCAAAAATATTTCTTGTATGTCCACTTTCGAAATGATTGATCTTGTAAATTTTCTTTTTGCGTTCTATCCTATACTGCAGCCTACTCGATCAATCATCAATGATTTCCCATTTTTTATTTTCATTTTTTGGCAAGAGGTCAGTGTAAAAAATACAATGTTTTTATGGCTTTATAACGAATTTTTTTTTTTTGTTGAGATTCTCTTATATATTCTCATCATCGTTACACCATCATACATTCCTTTAGTTTTCAATTAAATTATTAAATCATCATTCATTTGGATGTTGTTGTTTTTTCATTCAATTCATTTTTTTTTCTTAACTATAGCCTCTGTGAAAGGCGATCTGTCAAAATATTTCTGGTTCATCTGATTTGTGTGTGTGAGTCCACTTGAACGAAAACAAAAATTATTTCACGCATGATACCTTCCGATCATCATCATGATTTACCAAGAAAAATATCACCATCTCAATTTTGATTCAATATTCTTTATGAAATTATTTCATACTAATCATAATAATTTTATCATCAGCAACAACAAGGCAATAATCAATGCTATGTTGAAAAAAAAAGTAGGAATAGATCGACATGTTTTTGCTTTTGTGGGATGATTATTTTCATTTTTTATCATTATTCGGCTTTCTTTATAATATAAAATGAGTTTCTTTTTTCTTCATTCATCTTTGTCGCTGTTGTTGTTGTTGTTGTTGTTTTTCATCTATTACGAACGACATTCTATAATTTTTCAATACTCATCGTTGTCGTCATCCATGAGTTCCATGCTTGATTGACTTTAATTGATCACATCGTAATTTTTTTCGGTTCGATTCTGTTTTTTTTCTTCTTCTTGGAATCGTCGTTTGACTTTCGGTCTATATTCTTGCTTGCTTTTTATTATTTGTATTTTTTATTTGTTATGGATAGCCATTCTATATGATGATGCTTTCCTTAACATAAAAATTGTCTGAGAGAAACAATTTTTTGCTTCATGTCAATAGGGTTGAAATAAAAATATCAGAAGAATATTAGTTTTTTCATGTGTTTGTTTGTGTATCAAACAAATAATCTTAACATTTGTTTCGAATCATTTTGAAAATCTGGCAATAACAATCGTGAATATAAACGTTTGAATTGAATGTTGATTGAATGAATATGATCAGACAAAGAAAAAGAAAAAAAAATGACTACGATGATGATGATGTCGATTTTTATTTTGGCCTCTAATTCAACGACTATATCCAAGACTATCAATCAGTCCACTAAGATGATGATGATGTTTTTGCGTTTTCTTTTGCTAACCAATCTTTCATCATCATTGAACAAGCAGAAAAAAAAACAGTGGAATAAAAAATGAAATTCATTCAACCAATATTTGATATCATGGTCGATGATCAGGAAAAAAACATACAGAATTTTTATTAGATGATTAAATATGATGATGATGAAAAATATCACGACAACGATCACTTGAAAGATAAATTCCAAAAAAAAAGATAAGTTTATGGAAAATGGGAAAAAACTACCGAAAAAAATATATAATAATTTGATCACTAATTCGATCCATGTCACAATTTGTCTAGGGAAAAAAAACACACACACTGTTTCTATTTCTTTCTATTTTCAATTGGAAAAGACAACAGAAGATTAAATTACATTAAGATTTCTTTTTGTGAATCAATGATAATGTTTGATTATTATTTTTATTATAATTATGATGATAAGAATGTCATTTTGATCAGATTTCTTTTCATCCACATATAATCATCATTCATCTGGAAAAATTAAATTTCAATAAATAAATTTTCAGATTAAAATTTAAAAAAATCAAGAATCACAATCACATAAGTTTTGTTTGTAAATACATCCAAATTCTATTCATCATTATATTAAATGTACATATTATTTCATCAATATGGATTCATAATATGACAAAAAAATCATTTTTCAATATCGTTATCAATGATAATTTATTCAATCATCATTTCGTAACTTATTTTTTTGTTTTGTTTCGTTCATATAGAATGGCAAAAATATTACATTTTTGATCTATATCTATAAATTTAAATTTTCTTTTTATTTGAAACATTCGTATTTGTATTTGCAAAAAAAAGTAATTCGATACACAAAATACTCGGAAAATTTTCTTTTTTCCATCTTTTCCGATATTTGTTTGTTTAAAAAATTTAAATTTTTTTCCTTACACACATTTTGTGTTCAGCTCAATTGGGATTTTTGTTTGAATTCAATTTGTTTTTTTTCAGTTTTTTTTTGTAACGGATTTTTTTTCATTTTGTTGCCTGAGACAAAACTTTTTTATCATTGTTATTATTTTTGTTGATTCAATCAACGGCAAACAGCAACGTGTGATAATAATGATCATCATAATCAGATTTAAAGCTTATGACAATCGTTTTTTTTTCCTCCTAAACTAAAACAATCACAAATTTCCAATATTTTGATGATTTTATATTTCAGTTTCAGCATGAAAATAATTTTGATTTAAAACCAAATCTATCGTCATTTTTTTGTTGTTGGCCTAACGGAATTCTGATTTTTTAAGCTTAAAAATTTTGAAACGGAAAATTTCAACGGATTGACAATGTTTTGTTTGTAAATTCAATCGCATATCTTGTTCCATTTATGTCAATCTATTTTTATTCTCTATCTCTTTTTTTCTCTTTCGGCATTCTATTAGCCAGCTTAGTGATAAAAAAGTATACGAAAAGCAGAATAACATCACACATCAAAGCAATTTCGGAATCTGTTTGCTCATTTTCTTTTTTTTCTTCAGTCACCCATTATATCATTGAGCTTACAATTTTTTTCCATTTTCAACAATTGTATGTATACTGGTCTTCCATGACAAAGACGTAAATGTCAACAATATTAAGCTTCTTGTTTTGGATATTTTTACACACTTAGTTTTTATTTATATATCATCATACATATCAATGATGTGTGAAGAATATTTTCTTGTTATAATATAATGGTTATATTAAAGATTTCCTGTATGCGTGTATTGTATATTATATGATTATTTTGTTTTTTTCCATTTGTTGTGTTAAGTATCAATTTCTTTGAGTTTTTTCTGGTCATTTTTTTCTTGTTTATATTTCAAAAACATTTGTACTAAATTAAACAGTAAAGCTAAAAAACCTAAGCCGGATCAGAAGCATTATGAATTTAATTTGTCCATTTTTTATGAATAAATTCGAATACAGGTGTATATGATAAGATTGAATTGATATGTTTATCGATTAAGTCATTTTTTTGCAATTTATGTTTAAAATTGAGAATTTCTCATTTTGTAATTTAAAAATGCAAAACACACAAATAAAAATACATGTCAACAACAGATATCGCCCTTAATTTTTTAAAATTTTGTTTTGCATATGCATTATGTTTGTTCAATATTCGAACATTCTGTTGTGTATCTGATGATATGATTATTATTTTTTTCTTTATTTGTTTGAAGGTTCAAAATAAATATTTTGGAACAAAATATGAACATGTCACTACCATCACTACCATCGACCATTATCATCATAATCACAGTGACAATATCTGAACACTAAATATAAACATGTCCGAACAAATAAAAAATTTTTGTTTGTTCCAATCTTAAATCTGTTCAACTTTTTTTTTGATTATTATTGATTGTTTGTTATTGTTATGGGAAATTGAGTTTTTTTCTTTGTTGATGATTATATTATGAAATATATGTGTGTGTTATTCAAGTACATCAAAACCAGATATATTTTGGAAAACATTTTTTCCTTACAAATAATTTTCAATTTTTATTCATTTTTTTGTATTGTTATGCTTCAAATTCAATACAATTTTTTTATTTTGATTATTATCGTTATCAAATTCAAATGATGATTAGCTTATTGAATGAATTCTATTATGAATGTGCTATGAATCCGGTGAATTTAATTAAATTTTTCATCAATTCTGATGAAGAAATAACAAAACAAAAAGATGAAAGTGAAGGTAATAATTTTTTTTCTTTGTTTAATCAAATAATGATTTTATGAATTTAATTTTATTCGAGTTTTTCAATTATCAAATGAATGAATGGCCATAAAAATAAAATAAAATATTCAAAATGAAATGCAGTGAAGCGCACATTACAAGGAATTATAAGAGAAAAATTTTTTGGCAATAATCAGAATGATTTAAAATAAAAAATCAATAAAAAGTTATGCTTCAATGGAAATATATGACTTCTCATTGTTTTGAACCACCAATGGGAAGATGAAATGCTAAAAAAATACATTTATTTATTTCGGTTGATCGTTTACATAAATTACATTTTCATGAATGTTTGTATCGGTCCTGAAAATGAACAGAAAATCGAAGAAACATAAAATTGTACAAGATAAATAATAAGAAATGATGATGATTATGAATAATTGATCGAATATGCAAATTCATTCATAGTATAAGCATAGATTATTTGAATTGACATATGGAACGGACAATGGCATAAATGTATAAATATTGTAGGTGAAAAAAAACGAAGGGAATACAAAAATAAAACATCTGTGCACTCCATGTATACACTGTATGTGTTGGTAATGATTATGACCATGAATTATCAGCTCATCAGTCTGATACTGAATTTATCTATTTAATAATTAATAATTTAATAATGATTACTTTTTTCTGGTCCGTTAATTCATTCAACATTTTCATTCATGTAAATGTTGCTTTTTTATTATTAGTTATCATGTTGGTGGAGAAAAATTTAGCAAATTTGAAAAATTTTCTTTATTATTAGTATAGAATTTGATTTAGCCGAATATAAATACAAATGATTAATTTAAATACAGTGATACAATATCGGTATAACAATGATCATTTTTCTTTTTTTGGAATTTTCTTCAATCGTTGGATTATTGTACAAATAATAAATATGATGTTGATGATGATAAACTTTTTTCTTTACATGAAAAAAACTTTTGTTCTTTTTATACTTCTTTTATTTTTGACCTTTTTCTCCGAACTGGACATTACTTTTTTCTTATCTTTTATCGAGAATTTCTCATGGCAATGTTATGATGTTGATAAACTTTTACTTGTACTATTTGTTTTTTTTATTTAATTTGCAATAGAAAAATTTTCATTATTTGTTTGCCATCAGAATTTTTTCTGTTGAGAAAATATCAAAGATGTTGACCATAATATGGAGAAAGAAAAGTTTCTCTCTCTCTTTCTCTATTTGATCATTGATCAAGCCAACTACTGAACATGGAAAATTGATTTTTTTCCAAATAATTTGGATTTATTAGTATGTTGGTTTTTTTTCAATTCAGTACCTCATTCTTGTTCAATTTTAATATCATCATCATGATCGGTTCTTTTGAATCTTCTGCACTTATTAATTATTAATCTTAATATTGATAAAAAAATATGTATTTTGTATATACTGTTTTTTCCTAATCATCTATAATCAAGATTTTTTTAATATCATTTTTTCCCTAAGCTCTACCAGAATTATTGAGAATTACATTCTGTCCATATATAAAAATTTACTAATATGAATAATGTTTGTTGTGGTTTATCAAGTTCATCATCATTATAAGAGAATCGACTGACGATGATGATCCATGTAACCAATGAAATGAATCCATTTGTACATTGAACATTCCATTAGAAGAAGTGTATAGAATTGTATGGTAGCTAATATAATAGCAATATTTCATGTGTATTTATGTTATTTGTTCATTTATTCATTCAGTAATTTGTATGGCAAAAGAGATGAAAGAATGAAAAAAAAACCACAAAAAAATGGCATTGCTAAACATATAATAGGATCTTTTTTTATTGTTGATTTTGATGAACAGAATATACTTTAATATTTTTTTAGTTATTGTATTCATCGATATTGATGATGATGATGATGATGATAATAATAATAATAATTTGTACAAATGAAAGTTAGATATTAGTAGAAAAAAACTTTTCATACAATTTTTTTTTGTCCTAACCTCAATCCTGATGTGGGAGACCAGGAAGCAACAAAAAAAAACACTTTTATGTTGATGATAATGATGAACGACAATAATCGACATATTGAACCAGTGACCGAAATGTATAGAATTGATTCTAAACTTTTTTGTTTGTATTTTTTTTGTGTCATAATCTATAATGGTCCTTATGGTATGGATACTCCCATTCTTTTTGTTTCTTTGATAAATTGAAAATTTTAACAACAAAAATCATGAAAAATAACCAATAGAGTTTTTTATCATTAAAAAAAAGATAATAACGTATTTCTTGGTTAAAATGAAAATTCCTCTTGATGATTATGAAATAAAATGAAACGTTTGACATCTAATAAGTAACCATAAGTTATATAATGGTGGAACATTTTTATAAAATAAGTATATTTGTGAATTTTTTTTTGTCCATCTATAATCATCAGCATGGCAACATTGAAATTGTTGAATTTATCTTTGTTTTCCTTCTTTTTTTGTTTTGTTTCACATTTCGTTGTCCAAGATCATCATCATGTCACCGTTGAACTAAATACACAGTTTCCTATTGAAGATTGTCATTTATTTTGTGTCTTGTATCCCAACCATTAATCTTTTGAGTAGTTTTTTTTCATTTTAAAATAAAACTATCTGGTTCCAGATTCTTAAAAATTTAAGTTACTTTTTTCAATGCTTGATTTTGTTCACTGAAATAAAACTTTTAATTCAAAAGTGATGATCTTTTTTGACTAGAATTCATTTTCTTGAAAAAAAGGCGGAAAAAAATATTCGATACTTGGTCGATTTAAAAATTATTCTTGCAATGCTCAAAACTTGACCGATCATCCCTTTTTTTTGGTTTCTCTTGTTTTTTCAACATCATTATCAGGATGATCATAATGGTGAATGTGTAACCAAATGAAAAAAATAAGAGAATCTTTTGTTTGTATTCGATAAGAATATATTTGTTCAAGAACGTTTGGCCCCATTTGGTTCATTGATTTTTATTATGCTTGTATCTATTCATTTGAAGTTTGAATTTCAAAGAATTTTTCAAAAAAAGGAAACATTATTGTAGGTATTGAATACAATGATAACTAAGTGAAACAAAATTGTAGATAGCCATTAAATTGATGACGATGATGATGATCATCATCATCATCTGCACGGACAATGATCAGTTTGATAATGTTGATACATATAATCACTATATGTTGTTGGTCGATTTGACAAGTCAACCGCATCAACTCTTTTTTATTCTAGTTTTTAATTTAAGATTTTTTGAAGATCTTTTAGAAAAACGAAATCATTTTGTCAACAAATAATGGTCAATAATGAAACGATTAGTTTGACTTGGAAAGCATCGTCAAAAAAATGTTCATTATGTTTGATTGAGAGTAATACTAATTTCCGATTCTTTTGTTTAAATTGTTTTTCTCTCTTTTATAGTGAATTGAATCGTAAAAAATGGCTCATCAACTCAATAATGTTGAAAATAAATGTTTGTTATGTCTACCATCTAAAACATTGATGATGATAATAATAATGACTTTATCATCAAAATCGTTGTGGTTATATTTGGCCATTTTCATTTTACAATCATCATCAACAATCGTCAATGGCTATCTGTTTTCTACGAATTCAGGCCAATCTTTGAGCTTGTCCTCGTCATCATCATCATCATCATCACGTTCATCCGTCCATCGTTTCTCGAATCTTTATGGAACTATCATCCATTGTCAAGATTATTTACAACCTATTACAACAACAAAATCATCTTCATCATCATCAACATTGACCACCAATTCCATTAATCATCATATGAGTCATTTGTTGCCCAGGCCATCATCATCAACAACCAAATCATCATTATTAATGATAGAAAATGGATTGGAACATGATCTACAATCGATGCTTGATCTTGCCTATCAACAATATTCAAATAATATATCATTTGAATGGCAAGTTGGTTTTCAACAACAATCATCCCAACAATCATCATCATCATCATTACAATATCAAAAAGCAATCGATTTAGCGCAATTACGTTCAACCAATCCAAAGGATGGTACATTAGCATTATCACCATTTGGACTGGACTCATTCATACCAGATGTACATGATGCATATTATCGATGTTTATTACATATGCCCAATGGCTATGGTATTATTACAAGTCGTGAATTACATTTACAAGCTGGTAGGTCTTAAATATCTAATGAAAAATTTATTTTTCTTTCTTACATTTGCAATTGAAAAAGATAATTTGAAATTATAATTAGATTTTAACCTTAAAAACAATATTTAATCAAAATGATATGTAACTAAATGTAATAAAAATATATTCTATCATAAACTTCAGGTGCCATACATTTATCTAATTATCATTAAGATGTTCAGTATAAAGAGATGTGATAATTATTCGTGAATATTTTTCATCTAGGTATGCGTGTGTGTGTGATGCATTTGTGAATTAAACGAAGCGAAAAAAATGTATGTTTTCTGCAAAAAGTTTCGATTCTTTCAATCGTGATGTTATTTGAACAACTTTTTCAAGAGAACTATTTCGACTTGTATGTGTGTCTGTTCGTATGTTGATAATAAGAACAACTTTTGATATCATTTTTTTCTCCTTTAACCGCAATGAAAACCCGAAAAATATTTCCGATCTAAACACTGAAAAAAATAAATGAAAGAAATTGGGCGCCAATGACAAATGACATCCATTGCTCTCACACGCACACGAATACAAGAAAAGAAATGAAAAAAAAATTAATTAACTAAAACACATTTGAAAGCTTGAAACTTTGTCTTTATTCTTTTTTTTCTCATTGACGAGCCATTGCATCTTTAAGCAAGAATAGACGACGACAACGACGAAAAGACGATGATGACAAAAAAAAAAGAAAAGAATTGAAAAGAGTTTTTGCAAAATCGAATTGTAAATGAATGACTGCGTGTGTGTATTTTTGTATTAATTAGATTAGATTAATTAGGTTCTTTGTCTTTGTTTTTATTTTAGTTTTTTTTTGTTGGTCGATTTTTTTGTTCGCTGTTTGAATCATCATGTATTATTGGTATTTCATTCACAAATAACAATTTGTTCATTTACGACGATTTAGAAAAGGCGTATTTGTATGTATTATGAATCGAGAAAAAAAACTATTGTGCGTTCTGAATTCTAAATCAACTTGTCTATATGTATTTGTTTAGGATTTTTCTTTTGTCTTTTTTCATTGGTTGGTAGGCTGGTGGTCTGATATTTAGATAGATTTATTCAGCTTTTCTGTTTACTAGTCGATAAAATTCCAACCGTATTTATTTCCCCACATGAAGATTCATCACTATTTTAATGATGATGACCATGATGACATACATTTACATAGGTACAGAATGGAAATAGATTTTTTTTGTTCAAAAATTGCTTTTTTTTCTTTGTTTTTATTGGCTTCAATAATATGATAGTATAGTATTTGTTTGGTATTAATAAATTTGTGATTGACAAAATATTTATTATTTAATCAAATTTAGCTTTTAAAGTCGATTTTCCTAGTTAAAAATAAAATGAAGATAATCTCATCATTTTGTCATTATCATTTGCGAAAATATTTTTGTTTTTTGTCTTACACTTATCGATAAATGTTGAAGAATTAAAGTAGTGGAAAAATCCATTGATTATAATCATTGTTCAGTGTTGGTCGGTTTTTTTCTGCACACAATTTATCTTGATCACAATTCTTGATCTCATTACTCTTTACCATCGTTCTTTTTTCTTTTTCGCCAGTTTTCGACTTGCAAAATTAATGAGACTTGTCAAGTGATTCAATACAAAGCAAGAAAAAAACTATGTTCCAACGAATCTGAAGAGCTGAAATAAATGGAAAAAGAGAGGAAGAGAAAAAGAAAGTAAGAAATTAGCTCAGCTAAGCACAATTAAACCTGTTCAACCAATGACTAAGTATGTGAAGAAGTGCTGTTGTCGTTTGTATTTATGATTGAAAGTATTGAAAATTGGAAAGAAAAAAATCTTGTATTCTTTACAACAAAATGTAAAAATCGGTAGAAAAAATCGATCCAATCATCATTGTTGTTGTCCAAATTCCAACAAACAGCTGATAATTTCATTTTCTGCCTATTATTGTTGCTGTCATCATTATTATTATCATTCATTCAATGACATTTAAAGTGAATGGGGAAGATAGCGAGAGAGGAAAAAGAAAATACATTCGATAAAATTATTCGATTATAACATTATAATATTTTGTGGTTAAAAGATTTTTTTTTTAATTTCATTTTTCTTTTCATATTTCATTCATCTTTTTCGTTCCTGATCATTGGTTTTATTTTATTTTTCATTTTCGTCACTCTCACTATTCCGTGTGATCGGTGGCAATAATGACGTTTTTGTGGATCATTTTTCTTTTCCTATGTCTATATTCAATAACATACTTTATTTCATGACTAGTGGTTTTTAACATTTATTCATCCATCGAATTCATGAGTAAGGGAGAATGAGAAAAAAGCCTAAACATTTCCTTATTTTTTTCAATAAGAAAATCCATCGAGAATTGAAACATACATATAAATATAATATATATTTAAAAACCACATTTTCTTATTCGTATATTATGCGTAGAATTTCATATACACTAAAACATATTACAGTAATAATAACGGTGAACCAAGAATAGAACCATGTGAAAATGGTGAAGAAATTGTATGTGTTTGTTGTGCGAAAAAAAAATTGCTGATGATAGCATTATACACACGCATTGATGAAATGAGATGATCACGAGAGTGAAAAGAAAAAAGGCAAAAAACTAAACGCTGGACGAGAATTTTTTTTCTTTCCTACATTTTATTCTCTTCAACGACCAAAGAAAAATAACCAGAATGGTTATAATGGCTTTCAATCTACATATATGTAAGAACGCCATAAACACATTGAGTATAATGGCTTTTCGTTTTAAGCGAATTACTATACTGTGCTTGGACTCAAAAATGAGCACCAGTAACCGAAAAAAAATCTTTGCCCATACAAATATGTATAATGGACACATTCAAAATCTTATTTTGGTTAAATTTTTTCATCCTTTTTTTTGTATAATCTGTGCTGAAAAAAAATATAAGGGAAAAAACACATAATACAGCTACGATAATGTGTTTGTGATTGGTCATTTTTTTCATACAGACAACAGTTAGAATAAATGTATCAATGTTGTCAATTATTATGAAAAGAATAGCCAATATGGTGATGATCATAATAATGATGATGATGATTATCATGAGCATCATTTTGCATTTATTTTTTTTTTGTGTGCAAAATTTAGCGGCATCAGACAAAAAATGTAAACTGATAAATTGAATTTTTTTCTCTGCTTTCATTCATACATAAATTTTGTAGGAAAAAAAATGCAGAAATTCACAGTTTTTTATGATAGTTTGTCCAGTTGGTTTCAGTTTACGTGGCCAATCACTGATATGGTTTTTTTCATAGTTTTTTTGTCGTGGATCGTATTTCGATCTTTTCCATTTTTAGAAGAATGGTAGTTGAAAGAGATGACAATTTTTTGCTTATTTTCACACTGTAAATTCAATGGACAAGATGCAAACGATAAAGAGTCAAATTATTTAATGAAAAAACAATCATAATAATCTGTACAATTATAATCTATAGTAAAACCAATGATTATTTTCAATGTTTTTTTGTTTCAATTTACCAAAATTTTTTGTCCGAACAGACTATAGAATAAATGAAAAACATATTTTTCTGGTGAAAATAATAATTTTTATAAAGTTTCATTTGAACATCTTGTTTTTAGATGAAAAAATTTTTATCGGAAAAAAACTTTCCTGAAAAAAATAAATGACACCATATTTTAAAAATTAAATAACTGTGTAGTACATTCTATTATTGTTTGTAATTAGTTTCAAACAACAACAACAACAAAATAATATAAATTTTAACCATCAGTTGTTCTTTTTTTCCACGAACAATATTTGCCTGCAAGATATAAAACTAATTCATTTTTGACATTTTTCTCATCACTTGTTTGGAACATAAAGTTATTACAATTGAACATATTTTTAAAATCGAATCGAAAAAAAAGAAAATCAATTACAAGAGTCATCTGGTTCCATAATTTGAACTGTAATTTTATAACATAAATTTCAAACAGAATTTATGATGCAAAAAAATGATGATGATATTGAATGGATCAATTGTTATCATGAATATATCGTATTTCTTATTGGTAAATTTTTTCGATTTTGAAAATTTGTTCTCGTCCATTTTTCTTTCTTTGTTAAATAAAACAAATTTTTGTTTTCTTCAATTTTGCAATACAATATATCAATTCTGAAATGGAAAAATAAAACAAAAACAAATGATAACATCTTTTAGGATATAATAAAATGAAAACAAAACATTTGAATTGATGGAAAGAATTTATATAAGATCAACTCATCTTTAACATGATGATGATATACGGTCTTTAACGATTAAAATAGATCGACTGTCATTGTTTAATATTCGTTTGTATATTTTTTTCTACAAATATAAATAAATAAATGACATTTGTTTGCGAGAAAGTGAATAAAAGTAATTCGGATAGTGAAACTGTTCGTTTTTGTTCTTTCAGATCATTTACCATCATCTTTTATTTTTTCATTCATTTTTGTTGCATTCATTTCATATGTACGTGGAATAAGTAAAATGTGGAAAAAACAAAATTGAGTCCAAAAATTATATTTTAAAAAAGAATGGATAACATTGAAAGCAAAGAACAAGAAGAAAAATTAAAATACAGTAGATATTTTTAAAATGGTCAATATGTTTGTCCGTTTTTTGTATTTGTTCAAGTTCCAGCAGTTTTTAACCAAATGATTAATGATTCTACATTGCATTCTTGTTGTTAATGTTGGTGGTATTCATCATCATTGTCAGTAATAATGTGATAGAAGTTTTTTTTCTCTTATCATATGAAATGTTTGATCGTTTTTCGATGTTCCATGTTTGAAATGATAAAAAATCCATTTAGATCATTTGTTTGTTATTTTATAAAATAGACATAACATTAGTTTAGTTTAGTTATAATAATATTTTTATTTGTATGTATATACGGGCAATTTAATTCCGTAAACTTTAAACTTCTCCATATTTTTAATCTTTTTTTTTCTCATATATTGTTTGTTCTCAAT